ATGGTTATTGAATTTCCAAGCCATAGAGAAATGTTCATATTCGTCATTCAAAAATATGCCCACTAAAGTACAAGTATTAACTAAAGTACAAGTATTAAATATGCCCACTAAAGTACTGCGAGTAACTATGCTTTCACAGTTTTGATGAAGAAAAAGGTGCAAAGCTCTTAGGCTTCAGGCATTATGTCTCTTTGTTGTTGTTCATTCGTTCAGTCGTCTCCGACTCTTCGTGACCTCATGGACCAGCCCACACCAGAGCTCCCTGTCAGCCGTCACCACCCCCAGCTCCTTCAAGGTCAGTCCAGTCACTTCAAGGATGCCATCCATCCATCTTGCCCTTGGTCGGCCCCTCTTCCTTTTGCCTTCCACTTTCCCCAGCATAATTGTCTTCTCTAGGCTTTCCTGTCTCCTCATGATGTGGCCAAAGTACTTCAACTTTGTCTCTAGTATCTTTCCCTCCAGTGAGCAGTCGGGCTTTATTTCCTGGAGGATGGACTGATTGGATCTTCTCGCAGTCCAAGGCACTCTCAGGACTTTCCTCCAACACCACAGTTCAAAAGCATCGATCTTCCTTCGCTCAGCCTTCCCTAAGGTCCAGCTCTCACATCCGTAGGTTACTACAGGGAATACCATGTGTAGTGGAATCTACCTTTAAGACGACAAGGCCGAAGCCTGCATGACAGTAGCTGTCATCTTGGAAGGCAGGCAGAGACAGGAGGAGGAGTCAAGCCGACTCCTGATTGGGTATAGCAATTGGGGGAGGAGTCGGTTGAGAGAGGGAAATAAGCTGTCAGCTCTTGACAGGGAGAGAGAAGTGTCTTGACATCAGACACAGAAGGATGAAATGTTAAGATAGAAAGTTACAGTAGGGATCTGACAGGGAAAGAAAGTTTTAAGTGAGCCTTTAGAATAGGGAATAAGCAGCAGACAAGGGCTAAGGTTACTGTATTGATAGGATTAGTAACAGAAAGACTTGTCTGTTTATACTGAGGAAAAGTATAAGAGAGTTTATTTGCCCTGTGGGAGAGACAGATAGGGATCTGTTCTCAAGTGATACTGTGTCTAAAGATAGAGCAGTGTGTTTAAGGAATCTCACAGTTGATAGAAGCTTTACTGTCAGTGGAACTACTTGTTTAAGTAACTAAGCCTCTACAACTGAATTACGCTTCTGTATCCCTCATGCTATGAGGTGATATTTGTTCCAAGTTCAATAAACTCTTTCTAGTTCACTTTCAACTGGTGTATGCCTCAATCTATCAATCTCCTCAGAACCAAGTCTACCAAACCATTTTAAAGTCCAGTCATCCAGTGAAGAAACAATAGAAGAATTAGGAGCTCAAACACACCTTACCTATAACACATTCACACCTTTGGTCCCTCAGACCAATAATTCTGAGGTGGTGGCGGCTAATACTACAAATAACATCGGTCATTGATATCTTTAACTTAAGGTATCCTTAATTTCGTTATGCATGGCTTTGACTAGGTGGATCTTTGTTGCCAGGGTGATGTCTCTACTCTTTACTATTTTATCGAGACTGGACATTGCTCTCCTCCCAAGAAGTAAGCGTCTCCTGATTTCCTGGCCACAGTCTGCATCTGCAGTAATCTTTGCACCTAGAAATACAAAGTCTGCCACGGCCTCCACATTTTCTCCCTCTATTTTCCAGTTGTCAATCATTCTTGTTGCCATAATCTTGGTTTTTTTGATGTTTAGCTGCAACCCGGCTTTTGCACTTTCTTCTTTCACCTTGATTAGAAGGCTCCTCAGCTCCTCCTCGCTTTCGGCCATCAGAGTGGTGTCATCTGCATATCTGAGGTTGTTATGTCTCTACATGCAGCTATGTCATATACATAGCACTCACACATTGAAAGCAATGATCATTTACAGGGTACAATGTCTTTGCACATTGCTCATCGTATATGTAGGATTTGTACATTTATTCACCCTGAATTGAAATGCTTTCTTTGGGGAAAAAAGCATAACCTGTGAGCCCTTCCACGCAGTCCTATATCCCAGAATATCAAGGCAGAAAATCCCACATTATCTGAGTGTGGACTCAGATAACCCAGTTCAAAGCAGATATTGTGGGATTTTTGCCTTGATATACTGGGATATAAGGCTGTGTGGAAGGGTCCTGTGTGTCAGCTGCAGTCTGTAGGTGTGTCACAAGAACATAAAAAGAAACCTCTGATTCTATGTATGTGTGTGTGTGTGTGTGTGTGTGTATATATATATATATATGAGAAAGATTTTCATATGTTGTGTCCCCATACATTTCGTTATTAAAATTTGTGTATATGTCCATGTCTCTTATAAGGGGTCGTGTTCTGCCCCCGTGCTAGCTATTTATTTGGAAGGTGCCTGTGATGCAGGAAAAAGATCGAATGCTACACATTTGAAGTAAAAACAATTTATTAAGTAACAGATCCAAAATTTCCTCTCCTCAAGTGACTTACTGCCAGTCTTTGTGAGGGGAGTTAAAGTCCTTGAAACATAACCACAGTTTTGACTGGATGTCACTTTCCTATGGTTTCAATTGGATCTCAATTACACTGTATTATTATTAGTATTATATTGTATGACAATATTATCAATATTATATGTACATACAATCAAAGATGAAGTACTTTGGCCACATCATGAGAAGAAAGGAAAGCTTAGAGAAGACAATTGTGCTGGGGAAAATGGAAGGAAAAAGGAAGAGGGGCCGACCAAGGGCAAGATAGATGGATGGCATCCTTGAAGTGACTGGATTGACCTTGAAGGAACTGGGGGTGGTGACGGCCGACAGGGAGCTCTAGCGTGGGCTGGTCCATGAGGTCACGAAGAGTCGTAAACGAATAAACAACAACATGTACATACAATATATCATATTATGAGCATAGCATATTATTATTATTATTATTATTATTATTATTATATTACTACATTGCAGTATACCACTTTACATGTAATATATAATATGTAATTATTATATTATTAAGGAGCCCCTGGTGGCACAGAGGGTTAAACCACTGTGCTGCTGAACTCAATGACCAAAAGGTCGGCGGTTTGAATACAGGGAGCAGAGTGAGCTCCCGCTGTCAGTCCCAGCTTCTACCAACCTAGCAGTTTGAAAACATGCCAATGTGAGTACATCAATCAGTACTGCTCCAGCGGGAAGGTAACTCCATGCAGTCATGCCAGCCACTGACCTTGGAAGTGTCTACAGACAACACGAGCTCTTTGGCTTAGAAATGGAGATGAGCAGAGTATATGAATGAGAGACCAGATTGCCAATATCCGCTGGATAATGGGGAAAGGCAGGGAGTTTCAGAAAAACATCTATTTCTGCTTCATTGACTGTTCTAAAGCCTTTGACTGTGTGGATCATAATAAATTGTGGCAAGTTCTTAGTGGGATGGCATACCAAGCCACCTTGTCTCTCTCCTGAGGAATCTGTATAACAAACAAGTAGCAACAGTAAGAACTGACCACGGAACAACATACTGGTTCAAGATTGGGAAAGGCGTACGGGAGGGTTGTATACTCTCCCCCAACCTATTCAACTTGTATGCAGAACACATCATGCGATGTGCGGGGCTTGACGAATGCAAAGCTGGGGTGTAAATTGCTGGAAGAAACATTAACAACCTCAGATATGCAGATGACACCACTCTGATGGCCGAAAGCGAGGAGGAGCTGAGGAGCCTTCTAATCAAGGTGAAAGAAGAAAGCGCAAAAGCCGGGTTGCAGCTAAACGTCAAAAAAACCAAGATTATGGCAACAAGAATGATTGACAACTGGGAAATAGAGGGGAAAATGTGGAGGCCGTGACAGACTTTGTATTTCTAGGTGCAAATATTACTGCAGATGCAGACTGTGGCCAGGAAATCAGAAGACGCTTACTTCTTGGGAGGAGAGCAATGTCCAGTCTCGATAAAATAGTAAAGAGTAGAGACATCAGACTGGCAACAAAGATCCGCATAGTCAAAGCCATGGTATTCCTGTAGTAACCTACGGATGTGAGAGCTGGACCTTAGGGAAGGCTGAGCGAAGGAAGATAGATGCTTTTGAACTGTGGTGTTGGAGGAAAGTTCTGAGAGTGCCTTGGACTGCGAGAAGATCCAACCAGTCCATCCTCCAGGAAATAAAACCCGACTGCTCATTGGAGGGAAGGATACTAGAGACAAAGTTGAAGTACTTTGGCCACATCATGAGAAGACAGGAAAGCCTAGAGAAGACAATTATGCTGGGGAAAGTGGAAGGCAAAAGGAAGAGGGGCCGACCAAGGACAAGATGGATGGATGGCATCCTTGAAGTGACTGGACTGACCTTGAAGGAGCTGGGGGTGGTGACGGCCGACAGGGAGCTCTGGCGTGGTCCATGAGGTCACGAAGAGTCGGAGATGACTGAACGAATGAACAACAACAAGAGTATATGAATCAGAAGGGATTACATGTGTAGATATGGCTCCCAGCTCTTAATTATATAATGCTGCAAAATCCAAAATATAGGACATTTTAGGATAAGGGATATTCCACCTATAATAGCAAAAGGGAGAAAAATCAATGAAAGCAAAACAATCCCTTCCAGCCAAAGCACCACTCTGGAAAGAGAGGAAGGGCACATCTACATCGTAAAATGAATGCAATTTGAAACCACTTTAACTGTTGTGTCACAATACTAGGTGGAATCATGAGATTGGAGTGTAGTGGGGCACAAGCACTATTTAGCAACGAAGCCTAAACACCTTGCAAAACCACAGTTCCTATAATTTCATAGCACTGAGCCATCACAGCGGTATCTATCAAACTTCATTCATTCCACAGCTCAAGATGCACTTCTTCTTTTTTGACAGCAGGTGGCTGGTTTGCTTTCAAGGGTTTTCTCTTCTTTCTTATGGCAGGAAAAGAGTTGCAATGCCGCTGTTGGCCAGCAGAGGGAGCGCGACACCTGGCCTAGGGAGGGAGCATCACGTGACCTGCAGGCACCGCTAGCCTGGCTTCCCACTCACCCGCAGCGGCTGCACTCCGGTCTCCGCTCGCTGAGCTCCACGGGTAGCTCCCAGAGGCCCTCGCAGCCTTCGCTGTCCTCCGTGGGAGAGCTGACACTAGCGGGAGCTGTGTGGCCCTCCGCTTCTTCTTCTTCTCTAGGGCCCGCCGCGCCCGTTGCCAACATTTCTTTTTCCGTGGCTTCCGTCCTATACGACGGCAAATGGGAGGAGGGGCAGTAGGACCCCGCGGAGAACCCGTCGGGATGGGCACCATGCGGGGCAGCCACCCCGCCCTCCTCAAGGGTCATGTGATGGAAAGGGCCTCCGCCCGCCCACTTCCAGGATGATCAGCCAATCAGAAAGCGAGGTGAAGGGCAAGCGGAGAGTTTTGCGTCTGCGCACAAGATGGCATGAGTCCCAAACTGATCTCTTTTGGACTTCAACTCCCAAAAGCCTCAGATTCCCGGCCAATGTTCAGGGATTCTGGGAATTGATTGTTATACTTCCAGTACATTCAGTACTATTTAAGAAAAGTGTTTTTCAAAAGAGTAGGGAATTATTTTTTATGGTTTTGAATTTGCATTGTTTACAATGTTATTAATGGGTTGCTGTAAGTTTTTCTGGCTGTATGGGCATGTTCCAGAAGCATTCTCTCCTGACGTTTCGCCTGCATCTATGGCAGGCACCCTCAGATGTTGTGAGCCATGTTCCAGAAGCATTCTCTCCTGACGTTCCTCCTGCATCTATGGTAGGCATCTTCAGATGTTGTGAGCCATGTTCCAGAAGTATTCTCTCCTGCCATTTCGCCTGCATCTATGGCAGGCACCCTCAGATGTTGTGAGCCATGTTCCAGAAGCATTCTCTCCTGACGTTTCGCCTGCATCTATGGCAGGCACCCTCAGATGTTGTGAGCCATGTTCCAGAAGCATTGTCTCCTGACTTTTCTCCTGCCTCTATGGTAGGCATCTTCAGATGTTGTGAGCCATGTTCCAGAAGTATTCTCTCCTGACATTTCGCCTGCATCTATGGCAGGCACCCTCAGATGTTGTGAGCCATGTTCCAGAAGCATTCTCTCCTGACGTTCCACCTGCATCTATGGCAGGCACCCTCAGATGTTGTGAGCCATGTTCCAGAAGCATTGTCTCCTGACTTTTCTCCTGCCTCTATGGTAGGCATCTTCAGATGTTGTGAGCCATGTTCCAGAAGTATTCTCTCCTGACATTTCGCCTGCATCTATGGCAGGCACCCTCAGATGTTGTGAGCCATGTTCCAGAAGCATTCTCTCCTGACGTTTCGCCTGCATCTATGGCAGGCATCCTCAGAGGTTGTGGGCCATGTTCCAGAAGCATTCTCTCCTGACATTTCGCCTGCATCTATGGCAGGCATCCTCAGTGGTGGACTCACAACCTCTGAGGATGCCTGCCATAGATGCAGGCGAAACGTCAGGAGAGAATGCTTCTGGAACATGGCCATACAGCCCAAAAAACTTACAGCAACCCAGAGATTCTGGCCACGAAAGCCTTCAACAATGTTATTAATATTATTAATATATTCATTTCTATCCAACCTTTCTCCTGATAATGGTATTCAGGGCAGATAGCTGGAAAAATTCAAACAATATATAACTAGAATAAAATAGTAATGTATGATTTAAAAAACAATGTATGAATAAGAACAGCAAAATATATGCTTCGTGGTGTTAGTGGCCGTCAAATTGATTTTGAATTATGGTTATTCTATGGCAGGCATGGGCAAACTCCGGCTCTCCAGATGTTTTGGACTACAACTCCCACAATTCCTAACAGCCTACTGGCTGTTAGGAATTCTGGGAGTTGTAGTCCAAAACACCTGGAGAGCCAGATTTTACTCAGGCCTGCTCTACCAATAGCAGTAATGCAGTTTGATGCCACTTTCATTGCTTTCACTCAATGCTGTGGAATCCTGGGATTTGTTGCTTAGTGTGTTATAGTTTTGCCTTTTCTGTGAAAGCAAGCTGGTGCCTCATCAAACTACAGCTGTCATGATTCCAGAGCATGAAACCATTGCAGTGAAAGTGGTGTCGAACTGAATTCATTCTCCAGTGTAGATGCAGCCTCAGTGTAAGAGTTTCCTTGTTGCAACTAATATTAGCATATCAACATTTCCTTTAACCCTGAAGGCATACTCTGGCTTTGTGCCCAAGTCCTTTCTGTGCTGAAGTATAAAGTGTCAACATGGCCAAGGAGGTATGGCTATGTTTTCAATACAAATACAGTGAAAGGTGAAGTGGAATAAAATCACCAGTGTGTTGGTGTGGGACCAAAACAGAAACCAAGATCAATAATTGAGACATATAACAAAGTGGGGCCGTGGAATGTGGCTTTTCAGGACTGAAGCCACTCCTCCTCCTAAAGTCTGCATTCCATGACCACAGAAATGGGTCTGCTGTTGGACTGTTACCTTATTTTGCTAGCATATGCTACTTTTTAATGGAGCACTTCTCTTTTCTGCACATTTCCTAAAAGAATTTAGGAAGCAATTATTCAATGGAAATTTCACTGATACCATGGAAAAGCCCTAAGACTTCTCTTTTCCATTTTCACTAAAGCATACGGTTTGTTACCATAAACAGCAAGTTTCTGGGCAGCAAGTGTTTATCATAATCAGAAAGGGGAACATTTAACAAACACACAAATCCCTGGTAGCTATGCAGCTCCATTTTTGTTTTATTTTACTTATTTAGGACAACAAAAATGGAAATACCCACGGATCACGGAACAGAAAAAGCATGCCTTCATTTTTCTGATCACACGTTAGTCAAGCTAAAAGTCAGTGATGAATGAGTGTGGTGTCAACAACATTTATGAAGAAGGAAATTCAATTGAGATCAATTGAACTAACCTCCAAGTAAACATGATTAAACTAAGGCTGCAATGTTCTGCACATGATCAAAGGAAGGAGCCTCTGTGAACTCAATGGGGCACTTAAGCACAGCCTCTCCAGAGCAGACAAAAGACCTATTTAGTCCACCATGCTGTGATTAAGCAGTTAACTCCATGCTCTATAGTATTGCACTCTTACTTGTGATTCACAGTAACTGACACACAGGTGCATATTGCAAGTACTATATAGCTATGATAACTAGTAGCCATTTAGAACCTTATCCTCCACAAATGTTGTAATCCAATCTTAAATCTGTCCAAGTGCTATGCTTCTTCATTAAAAAATATTCCATACTTAACATGCTGTGCAAAATTTGGGATGATCCAAATAATAATGTGTCCAATGTAAATTGAAGAAATGTTGATGCTTAAGCCAGAACAACAACAACAACAAAAACAACCTATCAATAACACTGGTAATACCACGAATTCATAAAGGCAAACCATCTTTATTAACTTAGAAATTTTGAATACATTTCAATTCAAATTTAAACTATGGGTGTTTAAGATTATTTGAAAAACGTAAGAACCCTACAGAACCAGTTGGAATTTGGCCTCATTGACCATTGAATCCAACTCACTGCTCAATGCAGGATCCCCAGATAGTTTAAATCTGTCAAAGAGTTTGAAGGGGATTTATGGCCCATCAAGTCCAACCTTCTACTCAACCCCTAGCAGGCAGCTGCTCAGCCTCTTTTTGGAGACATCCAGAGAAGGAGATCCCACTTCTCCATGCGATTGCTTCCTCTGATGAACTGCTCTTACAGACTAAACTTCATGATTGAATTTCTAATGTTCAATCAAAATCTACCCTCCTGTTATTTATGTTAACTTCTACTATACTTGGTCCTACCCTCTGGGCAACAGGGAAGAGGCCTTCCACAGTGCTTTTTGTGGCAGCCCCTTTGGTACTTAAAGAGTGCAATCATGTCAGTCTTTTCCTCACCAAACCAAACAAGCCCAGCTCTTTCAACTTTTCTTCATATACACTTTTTAGCATCCTTCTTGCCCATATCTAAGGCATGTCCAGTTTTATCGCTGAGGCACCAAGAACTGAAGTTATTCCAAATGAGGCCTGACCAGCACAGAAAATAATGGGACTATGCCTTCCCTCTAGTTAGATACTATGCTTCTATTAATGCAGGTTAAAATAGCATTCACAATGCTGGCTCATAACCAGTTTATGATCAATAAACTGGTTCGTTTGCTATTTCCTTCCTATAGAATTCATTGGTGGTCACCCAAGAAAATATTAGCTATAGCTGACAATACATAGCTTCCAAGATGCAAAAGGATGTAGTGCCTTTAGGGCAGGCATTAGCAAACTAGACACCGAGCCCTTCTTGGAAGATGATGGTCAATATTAGTATGGCTGCTATGGATCATTTGTATAGCATGTGCATGTAAAACAAAAAATAATGGATCCTGTCACAAGTATATGTTGTATATACAATATAGAAAGTAACATTACAATATAGCAATAACATTACGGTAATGAGAACTGGAACGGTATAAGGATGATGAGTCTGGCCTATGATTCTACTGAGAGACGAAGCGGATTTTTATGTAGTTTGTATTTGTTGTAATAGTTACCTGTTGTGGATATTAGCTTTTGTAACCTGTCTTTTATGTGTATTGTACACCGCCATGAGTCGCCCGTAAGGGCTGAGAATGGCGGTTAACAAGTGCAGCAAATAAATAAATAAATAAATAAATAGAAAGTGTGACTAGACCAGGTATGGACAAACTTCGGCCCACAATTCCTAACAGCCTTCCAGCTGAAGAGGAGAGGAAAGTAACTGAGACTGTTAGAAATTGTGGGAGCTGAAGTCCAAAACACCCGGAGGGCCGAAGTAATTGTCTGTACCTACCATTATCCCTGGGGCAATCCTCATCAGCGCTGATGGGGATAGAAGCTTGCCAACTCTTGCTTGTATTCATTTACCTGGGCATAATCACTACAGAACTCTTGCATGTATCTATTTACCTGGGTATAATCACTACTGAACTCAGGTGGCCACTTACTACAGGGCTGCATTTATGAGGGATGCAGAAGCCTAAGCTTCATGTTCCTGTTCTGCTTTCCAGATTACACAGCCCAATAAAAAAAATCTCAGTGTCTTGGTTTTTAGGTCTGTTCCTGGGGTTATTTGGGGCGCTGATTTGGAAAACTGCATTGGATAGACCACCTCTTCTTAGATATGGTTATCATAATTTTCTGCAGGCGAGTGAATGGTATATGGCGTATGTTCTAACTGTAAGAACTATTCAGCAGAACTCTCTGCCGCGGAGTGTGGTGGAAGCTTTTTTTTCATGTTGGGAGCGACTTGAGAAACTGCAAGTCGCTTCCGGTGTGAGAGAATGGGCCATCTGCAGGGACGTTGCTTTTAAA